GCTTAAGCCTGCGCTGAGGATTTGTGAAGAAGGGATTCTCTTGGAAAAAGAATACACGTTTTGGTGTTTATTTTTCTGTCCTGCCTAAGCATGGTGGAGAGGACGAGGAGGAGGACTGCAAAAGGCTGCCTCGCAGGAGGCAGACCTGGAAAGGGCCTTAAACTGAACCCCCAGAGGCGGCAGCCCCTGGAGGTGGGACACTCGCTGGAGTTACTGTCGCCGCTCATGCCTTCTCTGTGGATGTGAGAGGCCGCGCCGCAGGAACCGAAACACCCGCTGCTCAAAGCATTGCCGGGGCGAGGGATTTCCAGATGGACATACGAAAAGGGAGTGGCTTTCAAAAACGGGCTTTTTGCACCAGCACCGGGGAAAATACTGATGGTTCAGGTGAAATGTCCTTCGCTGGAGGCTGAGGCTCCACCGCCACTAGATTTACTGGAAATGTTTTAATTGTATGTTGTGAAGGAGTGTTTGGAGAAAGAGCATGTCCTAATCTGAAAGACTTTCTGGTGTTCCTCTCTACAGGTAAAACAGAATAATCATAACACAGGATAATAATGAAGAAGCATTTATATGCCATGAAATAACTATGTCTTTTAATACTCACTTAATGTCGTTTGCTGCTCAGTACTTGGACAAAAATCCTTTCATTTCTAGAGGAAGCACTCCTTGTCTGTCGACTCCAGGAATCAGCTGGACACAGCTGTAAATACCCTGTGACATATAAACACACCCTTTCAGCGCTGGATAAATGTTATTTGCACTAAGGGATGAAATCTTACACCAGTGCACCTGATCTCTCCAATGCTTAGGAGTTTTTGAATTATGCTGTCTTTAATATAGACTTCAAATGCTTCTCTTATGCTTAAACTACTACAAAATTCATAATTTTGGATGAATCAAAGTTTGGTTTATAAGTGTATTTTTTTTTTGTTTGTTTTTGTTTAAAAGTACAGAAGTGAAGGCGGCACTGGAAAACATGGTAATTCAGTAGTGGAAATACTATTATTCTAATGGCACATATTAACAGAGACAGAGTAAACTGGGTTCTGAAAAAGATGTATTACAGATCTTTGTTCCAAGTCAATATAAAAGGTCCCAATCCTATAATCGTTTATGCATTTATAACTTGAAGTTATCAATTCAAAATAAAGGTAAATAATTGGTGTTGCAAATGAAGTGTGTCCTTAAGTCTTTGCACTTAATTTAATACATTGCAACTCTGTAACTCAAGGGGAAAACTATTTACGTTGGAAATAAAATATAAATTAAGGAACTACCTATCTGGAGTTCATGTAGCATATATATGTGTACTTATACATCTATGAATTTCCAGAAAAATGTAATTCTAAAATTACAAAGCTCAGGACTACTATTTCAATCTACTTCTAAATGATTGTTACCAACTCATGTTGATGGAGTCTTTCTGTAATTTTAGTAATCTATTTAAATAATTATTTTTTTCTTAGTTGGTGAATTAATATGTAAATAAAATACAGAACACTGAATTTTTAACTTTCAAATGCCAAATATGTTTTTTTATGGTTCTATGGTCAGGCACAACACCTATTTGATTATGTTTCAATGAGAATATCACTAGACCATTTAATGCTTTTAAAATACCACTCAACTAAAAGAACTTGTAGAAATGGCTATTTTACTTGAGTACTATGCTGTATTACCTGCACAAAAGAACAACTAATTTAAACCATTAAGAGAGAAGATGGTGTGTAACACACATGGGCAAATCAGGGTTTTATTTTCCTTAAGGGAAATAAAATATTTTTATTCCACTTTTTAAAATGAAAGATCAAATTATTTGACTGCATTCAGACAAGGGGTTCCTTGTATTCTGCTTCAAAAGCTCACTCAGAACAATCTATTGCAGAATGGATGTTCACTATATTCCTAAAAGCACTTTAGTATGCATAGGGTTCATGTCATTATGCCTGAAATGACCAGAGAAGTGATAAATCAAGTATTTCAGATTACCTGATAACTACTGCAAAAGCCTTTAAACCTTATTTCTGTTCCAGGCCTTAGTCATGGGGTGGGGATAGCCCTAATCTTTATGGGAGGAGCTATGCAGCCATGCAACCATGACTGTAGCACACTAAGGAGCATACACTGCATGAACAAAGCTGGTTGCAGTGTGGAGAAGGGCAGAGCTCTCTGAATTCCCCTGGCAAATCCACACCTATGTAGTCTAGAAAATGAACTGCAAGTTTCAGGGTAAAAGCTTTAGAACCTAATCCTGCTCCCTTTGATGTCCAGGGCAAATGCATCTTTTGCCCAAAACAAATGACTGAGTTTCCATAAATTTAAGCTATTTATCCAATCTGTTACTCTCAGACTCGTTTTTTGTTCTTCAAAATAAATCTTAATTCAAAAGGCAGGAATTAAAGATCTTCATGGAGAGAGCACTCAACCAATTTTCACAAAATATATGGAAAGCTGTAGGTATGTCTCTTGCTGCTGTTTACAACTGCTGCTGCTGTGTACTGAGATAAGCTTTATAAATGCAAAGATAGCATTGCTGAAAGCAGAGAAGGGACCTCTTTTGCCCTCCTCACTCTGATGTTAACTTCCCTGAATGCTACATGTTGTTATTCAGCTTCATAAATTATGGACACCATGCAATACTGGAGTAAAAATTCACCTGGCACCAATGTTTTCTTAGATATGATTGTTGGAATTTGATTTTTTTCTGTAGAATAAATGAAAAATGCATTGTTTTTTAACATTTTTGTCTCTTTAGGGGCCAGTATAACATTCAAGTACCTGTCATTTTAAGTTATGTGATGCGCAAGCACGGTGCATTCTGTTTACCTCCTAGTAATCTACAGGTATGTAGATTACCCATATTACAGTATATGTATTTCTAGGTAGATTTTTTAAAATAGTTAGGACATGTCAGTAAAATATATTCTTAAATTATGACTGTTTATTTCATATACCCTCTCAACTGGACAGAACTTTCCTATAAAAAGTGCTGCTTTGTTATCTCAATACAGTAACACAATAATTAGCTATCATCCTAAATTTAAGTACTCTATTTAGAATCTGGTGTTAAGTCTGGATCACACAGTGATTAAGAAGAATTTAATAATGTACACTGTATGACAAGGAATACAAAGTTATGTTCTTTGCTTTGCCTTTAGTTCACTGAACAAATAATAACACCATGTAACTGTAAATTGACTGGGGGATATTCACTGTGAAAAGTAAGCAATCTGAATATGAGACTCACAGTGGTACAGGTTAAATAAAAAGCCAAAGAAGCCTGAGGAGTCAAATATTTGTATGGCTACTTGCTTTAAGTTTACAACTTCATGGAGACTACTGATTTTTATTTATTTTTCCTGGTAAGCCATATGGAGGTAGTATTTTTTCCTTCTTCTAGTTATTTAGCTTAATTGACTAACAGGAATTTAATATTAAATTAAATGGTACTTTTTAATTTTAAGTGACTCTCTACCATGTTAAGAACGAGCTTCTGTTTGTACACAGTATGAATTCTACGGCAGGCATATATATTAAAATGTACAATAATGTTTCTATGGAGAAAAAATGAGAAGACAAAACTCTGGTACTTTCATTTGAATGTTAAAGTCAACTCTTGATTATGCAAAGTACTAGGGATTCTGAATAAAGTTAAAATAAAGACAATTAAAACATGTAATTTATACTATAAAATATATATAAGACATGTTATATAATTGAAAAAAGGCCAAAAATAGACTGCTGGACAAGTAGACTGTCCCAGAATTGTTATATCAGGGCCATAAAACCAGACCTAACAGAAGCTGACTATTCAGGGAAGATAAATGATCAGTTACACACTGCCAATGATGTTCTTTAGGCTCTTTTCTCACCATTGCTGAACTTCAGAAAGGAAGCAGGTATCATTCCTGATACTTGCCATGATTTCCCATAATTTTTGTGGTGGTTTTTTAAAATTTTTATTTTGTTTTTTGGGGGGTTTTTATTTGTTTGTTTTGTTTATTCATTGTTATTGTTGGTTGGTTGTTTTATGGATTTTTTTTGTTTTATTTTGGGGGTTTTTTTGGGGGGGTGGTTTTTTGTTCTTAATTTGAGCATTATATAACTTTATCCTCTCAATTGTCTTGGTTTGTCTAGGCACTGGGAGGACAACTTACTGTCAGGTTAGCCACGTAAGAAATACTGTTCAGTTTCCTACGAGACTGTTGTTGAGGCCCACTATGGAAAATTTTAAGACAGAAATAAAAACATTCAGGCTTTTTTTTTTTGTTTCTCCACTTTTTAAGAAGTGAAGCTAAATCAATACAGAACTTCACAGGCCTGCAAATAAATGTGGACATTCATCTTCTGGCAAAGGTCCGAAGTTAAAAATTGGCCTTAAGGGCTGTTGTATTCAGCTCTGTATTCAGAAAGTCATACTTGTATGCATTAAAAAAAGTTGAGAATATCATAACATACCTTGCCATTCCATTTTTAATGAACTTGCCAGAAAAAGAAGATTTAAAACAGAGATATGCTTATCTATATAGCATATGTTAAAAAAAGTGTCTTGGGCTCAGGCCTTTAAAAACTGTTTCCTTGGAAGAGAGAACTTTCTGATTCTTCAGAAGTATTAATTATCCTCAGCCAAATCATGAAATGGCTACATATAAATATCAGGTTAAACATGCCTGGGACTGTTCTCTGGCATTGGAGCTTGTAGCCACCAAATGTTCCATGTTTTATCCAGGATAGTCACATGCATGTTTTGCCCATTGAGAATGGGTTATGACTAACACTAATGTCCAAATTGTGTACAGGAATTGTCTGGGAAAGTGCAAGCTGGGATGCTTTGAGCCTGTGCCAAGGTCTGCTGGAACAGATAGGCAATTTTTAGACAGATTATTTCCAATGTCCATGTATGTTCCATTTATGTTGCATTTTAGAGACACACCTAAAGCAATCTTCTCAAAGCGACTTGACAAAAGGAAGGTAAGAAGAAACTGTAGTTCCCCATCTAGGGATAAATCACATTCACATTTCTTTATTCAAGCAATTAATAATCTTATAATTATTCAGAAACCTGATAAAAGGAAGTTCATTGAAATTTGGCTATCAGTTGAAATATTTGTTCATATGAAGACATTTTAAAAAGTCCTACACAGTGTCTAAACCAGACTTCTAACCTGTAGCAGATGTCTCTCTTGGTTTAGACATCCTGTGGCCTTTACAAAAGGATGTTACAGTGGGACTGGGAGGAGAAAACATATACTGCAATAAAATGAAATAAGCACAAGTAACTTTTGCACTCTTTTGGGTTATGGCTGTCAACATCAATTTGTAATGAAAATTACTTCTGAAGTGTAATTTATTGATTTTAAGATAGGAATAGAAAAGGAGTAATGATAAATAAAACATCATCTGTTATTTTCTGAATGCTGAGTATTCAATTTAAAACTTTTTTATTTTCTTCTTTTTTTTTTAATGTAGCTGGACATATGCTGGAAATTTGCTTCTCAGCATTGCCACAGGGATGAAATAGCACTGCATCTACTTTGTCAGGACTTTAGAAGATGTGTGGATGCTCCATTAGTGAACCAGAAAGCAGTATAAATTTATCACTTAATTTCTCACAAACTTGCAATACTATGCATTCTGAAGCACAAACGCTTTTTAAAATTTTTGGTTTAACTTTCGACAGGGACAATAAGTGGTCCAGAAAATTGAGCTGTTTACCTGGAGAAGCACAAATTAAATGCAAATATATGTCTCTGACTAGATGATGCAGCTTAAAAATCACATTAAAATGATCTATTTATGAAAAATGTCCTTTTCTGGATCATGATGTATTTAAATTCCTGGTTTTAATGTTTCCATTTCTGTATTTATCCTCCCACAATTTTAAAATACATATTCAACTTCCTCAGGTTTCTTAAACATAATTCATCTATTAAAAGATGAATTCACCATAGGAAATTTTTGTCTCAAAGGTATATGGTTGGAGAAACAACACACTAAGCATAAGCAGTTTCCTTAAAGCTTATAGTTTAAGTGGAAATAATTTAAAAAGTGTGATGATAATGAAAGACCACTAGTGTACATAGCATTGTAAATTTGTAGTTCTGAATTATTACTGTACATTTTGTAGGTTTGCCAACTTTTTCTACTGTTGATTGCATTCCAGTGCAAGTAGTCATATGAAAAATGATACAGTGACTCTCCTGAGGAGACTGTGATCTCTATACCTGTGCTACTGCTAGTATTGTTTTCCATGCTGGGTTCAATTTATTAACATGGTCTGTTATGCATAAAATTGCTGTTAGATAAAATGCATTACAACTAATTGTCATAAGCAGTGCTCTTCAAAATCACTGTAAGAAGTAGTTTAACTTTCTGAAAAAAAAAGATCCAGTTTCCACAAGAATATGGGTGCATGTCACCACCAAAAACAAAGACACATGTGGTTGGCACATGTTTTGTTGGATATTTGAGGATAGGCATGTGTGAGAAAAAGAGATGTAAAATGCCATAGAAACAGATGCAGAGAAGACACAGATACCCATACACAGGCCTGAGCAATCGCTGGGAATGTAGCTGTAAGAAAAGCAGAGCAAGAGAGATTCAAGATGACTATCAACCAAGAAGAAACTGAGACTTTGAGTGAAACATTCACATGGTTTCAGAGGAAAAGAATGTACACACAATCTTTATAAACAGAGTGCATCAAAGTATCTGATGCCATCTCTTGTTTCTGACCAAAGACACTACACTAACCAAGTCAAATTAAGTAAGAATACACTGCCAATTTTAATGACAGTTGCTTTCTAAATAGATCCATAAATTACAATAACCCAACAGCTTTCAAAATATGCATTTCCCTGTCAGGAAAATATGTGCAGACACACCACAAAATACTTTATATACTTTCTTTCACTAGCCTTTTTCGTAAACTTACTCATGACTTTCTTACCTTCCATTGCTGTTTCCCCTCTTTTCCAGACTTAAGAAAGTCTTTTGTTTATTCCAGGCTACACTAGTGATTACTCTTCTATGCCCAAAGTGTTTTTTTCCTCCTGCATTTCCTTGGGCAATGTTTATCTTTTCTCTGCCATTAGGCTGTGTTTTCCCTATCGTTTTGGATTGTTTCCTTCTTACTTGGTCCCAAAGGTTAGAGGTAGCATATAAAAGTCCTTACTTTATTTTGCTATTTTGATTTTTCTTCATGCGCAAAATAATTCATGATGTGAACCTCTATCTGCTTCACTTAAAGAATCACTGGCTTAAAAAGAGGATGTTTCTATCTATATCTATATGGATAGAGTCTATATGTCTCTGTCTATCTCTATAACAAATTATCTTGCTGGGTTTATTTTTTTCTTATAAATTGTGTTTACAGAATAGCCAAATGCCCAAAGAAGAATGCACTATGAGTAGAAAGTGAATGAAAAACCGACTTTGGTGGGAAAACCATTTTAATAGCGTAGAAAAGGAATTTATGATTGAATAATGTTTGGAAAAAAAAGTTCAGTCAAATAAGGAATAATTTGCTGGCAAAGAGATTATTTGTGAAAGCCATGCTATAAATTTCTGTTTGAATTACAGAATAGCACAAAGAGCACTTACATGAAAAACTGTCACAAAAATTGTTATATATGTGCAGACCTAAAATTATGATCTTTCCTTTTCTAATTTTTTTCACACCAAATATCATTTATACTAGTGAGTACAATTTTTTTAAAATCTAAAATGTAAATATTCTGCTGTGTTTATGATTGTCTGCAAATAACTTTGCATATTGCTAAACTTGGATGTTGCCTCAATAACTCCAGAAGTACTGAAGTTAACTGTCCAGTCTAGGGGCATGACAGGTAGAGATATCATCCATATCTGAGCTTTTCTTAAGAAATAAATTTAATGAAAAATTGATCATCTAAAAATTAGTGATAGACAGATGTTTAGGGATGTTTTGGTTTGGTTTTAAAAACTAGATTTATAAAGGTAAATGTGTTTTTTTCTAGTCCATCTGAATTTTATTGGGAAGTATGCTTTATTTTACAGTTAGTCATGATATCCTTATCATCCCCTTATTTTTTACATCTTCTCATAAATACCATCTAGAACTTGAAAAGTGAGAGAAATTCTTCTATTTCTTTACTGTTGATGATTAACTCAAAAATATAACATGGCCTATGGGGGAAGGAGTGTCACATACATGTCTGATGGCCTGGCTGTGAGGCTTTGTTTCATTACCATGGACATTGTGTTACACATCATTCCTGTGACCTTCATGCTATTATGAAGTTAGTATAAAACCGTGTAACAGCTGAACATTCAAGATCTACCAAACTGATTAACTTTAGCAGTTACACTTTCTTCCTCCTTCTCACTCCTTGAATAATCTTCCCTCCCAACAATAAAATTGTGTATATTTAAATGAAGATTTTCTTACCAGGCCTCTACCAGCTTTACCCTCTTCTAAAAGCAGTTCAGAGATGTCTATATGAGACTTCTTTATGGCTGGTGTTCTTCACATGTATTAGATATAATCTGTCCAGTTCCCAAAAATTTCATTCAAAATGCTATTTACTGCTGTCAAAATGCCTGAAATAGAAAATTTCACATGTAATTTCTGGGAAGTTATAGAGCTGTAATAACCTGGCTATAGGAATACAACTACATGTTTAGGTAGCTGTAGAATAATATTTAATTATTGCCCTTAGGAATTTTGGGAGGGAGGGGGGTTCCACCTGCAGAAATTTTACAGATAACCTCTTAGAACTCCCTATGTGCCAAGCAAAAATTTACAGTACTGTTAATCCAATAGCTTTTCTCTAGCATATACACTTCTCTTTGATTGCAAAAACCATACTGCAACTTTTTAAATGAAACACTATTTTTTGGTAATGTAGTGCTCAGGAAAGACTCTGGGTTGCTAGTCTAGTGCACTAAGATCCTCATTTATCCACAAAAAAAGCCAGTGCAGGAGTAATGCACACTTCCCGGTGCTGTTTCACTGTTGCACCCCCGAGGGACGCAGGTTATAATGTAGTTCAATCCCTCATACATTTCTCTGAAATATGTGGATTCTCCATCTATACTATGTTACCACAGTATTACTGAAACAATACTGCTCAGCTGGTACTGAAGAATAATTAGGCAGACAAGAAATCTTCTTATAAATAATACAGAAGAAAATATGTAACAAAAATTAAATTTGCTTCTCGAAGACAATGCCCCTCCTATTCCCTCACTGTAAGCTCCAAATTTGTTAATATTGTGTGGTTTTGATCTACTTTTAAGTTTCAGAGTTTCTCAAAGGAAGTGGGCTTGGCATTTTATAGTTGCCTGGGAAGCACTGCCCATGCTTATGATGCCACAGAAATATTTTTAGTATGATGGAAAGCTCTCTATCACTAATAGCTGCTTTTAAACCAGCTCCTTTATAAGACTTGAAGCACCCTGTTTCCCTCTGTCAAGGTGCAGACCTAAGAATCCAGTTCCTCACTTTCTTAATTCTTACCATTAATAGTAAAAAAAAAATAAAAAGGCGCTTTTTTCCTTTTTTTTCTTTCTATACTGACATATTAAGTTGATCCTAAAGAACACAGACAATGTCTCTAAGATACTCCAAAACACTGGTGTGAGCAGATGTCTGAGGACGCCTTCCGCCTGTTCCCGAACCGCCTGGGGCGGATCTCAGCCCCGGCTCTCCAACACTGCCTGTGAAATCCGGCCGAGTTACTCGCGTTTGTTCTCAGGACTCCCAAACCTGTTTGTCACATCTCTTCCACTGGGCTAGGCGCGACCGATTCTATAATTATTGGAGCTAAAGAAAGCCACTGACCCCCTGACCGAGCAGCACCCGGACTGCTCCGGCCGCTTCCCGCGCCTTTGTCACCTCAGAACCCTCCTGCCGTCACCGCTCTCCTGCCCGCCCTTCCTCCTCTCCTCCCAGTCCCGCTTAGGCAAACAAGGCCTGTTACGAGCAGCCAGGGAAGAGGAAAACTCTAGCCATGCTGAAAGGAGAAATTAAAGTGTATCTAAAACTCCTAAAGCGCCCTGCGAGCCCCAAACACGCTACCGGGGTGCCGCCTCGCCTCCTCCCTCAGACCGGGCTGAGCGCAACTTGCCCACGCAGGAAAAAAGACGGAGGTGCCCTCAGGATTTTACCTCAGGTTTTCCTGTTTTAACTCACAGACCTGCTTCTCATGCTTTATAATGACTGCTTATAGCTTTTCTTTTCGAGTCTTAACATTATCTGGTAGCGAATAATTAGCAATGTGTAAGTGGGTCCCCCTCTCGAGGTAATGGAACAGTCCGCCGGGTTCCAGGCGCCGCGGCTCCTCGTTTAACCCCTTTCCTGCCGATCCGAAAGAACCTGCCCGGCGGAGGCGGAGTAGGATCCTGCCTCGGGGTCCGCTGCGCTGGAGCACCGCGGCCAGGTCAGGGTAGTGAACACACTTCGTACAGGCGGTGCGAAGCGGGGGCAGCGGCCACCCACCCGCAAAACGGCCTTAAATGCCATCTGATAAAGTCTTCCAACATGTCTTCTTCGTAGTGTTGTGGAAACGTGTGACAATGTTTAAATAGTAATTGGTGAACTGGGGGAGAGGGCGGGTGTTGTCTTTTTTGTTTGTTTGTTTGTTTCCATGATTCCCAGTGGAGAATTTTGTGGACTCTGTATGGACGGCGCCTACCTGTCCCCCAGGTGAGCATTCTCCCCATCCCTGCAGACGGACCATCGTCCCCGGAGCATCGTCCCCACCCTCAGCCCGGGGAGCGGCTGCTTTCCTCCGGTGGGCTCAGGCATGTACGGAAAATCACGCTATGAAAACCCACCGTCCATAAAGGAGACAGAGGAGTCCTGCAACTTTATTCGCATAATGGCAGAGAGTCCACCAGGGCACACGCCCGCGGGGTTTCTCTCTCGAGATTTTAGCGGATGCGGCCTCCTTTTATCCTAAACTCCCGGCTGCATGTTGCCTTCTTCCTTCCCTCACCATCTGAGGTACTGGGAAAGTGCAGTACTGGGTACTGCACTGGGAAAGTGCAGCCTTCTCGGGCCACCTACCACATATTCCCGCTTGATTCTGTCATTTTACCCCAGATTTCGGAAGTTGAGGCTGGCACAGACCCTTGCCTGTTTCAGGAGCCAGGCTGTCTGGGATCTGTAACAAACCTTCCCTTTGAAGTCAGTAGACGTATTAAGACCCATTTCTAAGACGTTAACACCCATTCCTTCACCCACAGAGTTGTTTGTAAAGATATTAGCACTCATCTTTCCTACCTGTCACCTCTCAGAAGATCTTCAGCAATAACCGGAGAAATGGAGGTGTCCTGACCCTGAGTGCTGGGGTCCCAACCTGCCACTTTCCCAGTTTAAGCACTTAAGTATCTAAGATAAGATGGTATGGGGTTTTGACATACAGTCTTTCCCAACTGCAGTTGCTGGAAGATTAAAGAAAATTGTAAATTTTGCACTTACTTTAAAAAAGAGTGTTAAGCAAAGAGTCATTTAGCTGAAATTTCCAGGGTTTGTCTTTTTTCTTTACTATTCCTTATTTCTCTGTTCCTGCTTCTCATTAACTTCAAGTGGCAATTCAATCCCTCAAAAAGTTTTTTAAACAAAATAAAAATATGTAAAAAACCTTATCATCTTCTTTGCCTCTTCAGTCTATTGCCATATTAAATACAAGAAATTCCATTTCCTTTCCTCACATTATCTCCTAGGGTCACAGTACTGGATCCCTGTGTTGTTTTCACAGATGTTAATGCCTACTATTAAACATTTTCCTTTCAGTATCTTCCATCTTTCACAAATTTTCTAGGTCAATATTCCTTCTCAGAACCATACTTTCTTTTCTTTTATTCTCTGATTCTCACAGGGTAATGGCCTGAGCCATACTGAACTGTATAGCAAGAGCCATTTACATTTTTTAGGAAGAAGGGAAGGAATATGGCTTAAAGTAAATGCAAGAGGAAACCAGTGATTTTGCTCCAACTTATTAAAGTTAATCCAAGTTATTAATTATTAGGCCTTCATTGGTAACCAGGAACATGTGGAAAGACTTCTGGCAGAAGAAAACTTTTTGCATGAGTGCAGGAGAGCTTTTTCTAGAAACCTGCCAAGTGATATGAATGGATCTACAAATTTGAGTTCCTTGTCTTCTTAAGGCCAGGCAAGGTGAATTACTTGTGCTGGTGTTTGACAAATCATGAATACTGATATCATATTTTCCTTTAACATACTAGACATTAAAATATTTAAATTTATTGCTGCTGCATGACTTCTTGTCTGAAAAGTGTTTTGCACTTTCAGTTTATGTTTCAGCATCAGCCCTGGCTATCTAATCTGGAAAGCACATATGGTGTACAACTGTAAACACGCTTTTTGAAAGTGAAAGTAGAAGGAAAACTAATTTTGCAAAATAACAACAATAAAATGCAAGATTTTGATTAGAACAAAGAGCAAGTGAGTAATGTCTGGTTTTGCTTAGAGTTGGATGAATTCTTTTAAAAAAGCGTAAAGTAGGGTACTGTACTCACCTAGAGAATTTTGTTGTTTGCTTGTCTTCAATCAAATGTAGGCCCTTCCTTTTCATGCCACAAAGTGTTGTGAGCACTGGGAACTTTTGAAGTGGTGTTTGATTCTGTCGACCTCCTGACCCCTCTCTAGGTAGAAATGTGCTTTTTACTCTAACACTACAGTCTTGCAAGATGGCTACAGTTCTTTGGGTTTTGTGTTTTGTTGTTTGGTTGGTTTCGGGTCTTTTTGTGTGGTGGTGCCCAGGAAGTTCTACTTGAACATGAGGAAGAACTTCTTTACTGTGCAGTTACCAAGCACTGGAACAGGATACCCAGAGAGGTTGTGTAGTCTCCCTCACTTGAGATATCCAAGCCTGGATACAATCCTATGCCATGTCCCCTGCTTGAGCAGGGATGTTGGACTAGGTGACGCACTGTGGGCCCTTCCAACCTGACCCATTCTGTGGTTCTGCGAATGTATTTAGGTATGAAAATACCCAGTTAGGTCAGGAGAAAAACTCTAAATGCTACATTGATCTGTGAAGATAAAAATGACGCTATTTAATAGCTGAAATCTATTGGAAGTGCATACACTATGATACCTCTGCCCCAGTAAAATTTTGAGAATAGTTACCATGTCCCTCTAATGTCACTGAAAATGTCAATATAGCTTTTAAATATTAGCCCCACTGGATGTAAAATTTGTCTTGGAATCAAATTTTTCCCATTCTGTTTACTCTTGCATTAGAGTTACTGCTTTAATGTCTCAAGAAAGGATAAAAAGTGTTAGAAATCTTTCAATGTTCTCTGAATGCTTACCCCATAGAATGATTTTTCCAGTAGTTCCTTCTTGTCCTTGTTTCAGGAGTTGAGTAAATTGTGCCCAGTTGTTTTATTTCCCTAAAATAATTAGGCCGATTTGGTGACTCATTAATTTTCAAGAAACCGATTATTTGTGATGAATCTTTACTCCAAATGACAGTTAGGGAACACTTTCTAGTTTTTCACCTCCAAATGTGACATTTATGACGCTCAAAAAAAATATGCTGAATGTTTTGGTCCAAGGAGGCAAAAGGCTAAAAAAGGTAAGGTGTCCAGAGCTCCTAGGTTGTTATTTTGAACACACTTAGGTGTAAGTTCCAGCCCCCTGTCTGGAAGCTAGTCGATCCCTGGACACAAAGACTTAGATAAAGCAGGTAGTGTGCAATCCATCAGTTGAGGTTCAGTCAGGAACCTGCTCTCACACTCGTGGGGCTCGGGAGCTGTGGAATCGGCAGCAGGGCTCTTCTCCACTAGATGGTGATACAGCAGCAGCTCTGACTTCCCTGTTTCTACAGCAGCAGGTTCACCTCCTGCGATTCACATCCCCACTCGTGAATAGTCCCGTGAAAGTACTTTTAAACCAACTTCTTCCTTCTTTTGTAAAAAGTGAAGACTCTGGTAAGATTTTAAAGAAGGTTGAACTTTACAAAGAGAGAGGAAGTATTTGAGTCCCTCAATGAATGTGCACAATTTGTTAGGACACTTTGGAGGAATATCTGTTTCAGAAATTTTACATTCTAAATGGCATGAGTTAGACAGTCTTTTGTCTAATTTAAAAAGAATGGTTTAATTCAGCACATAGTAATCTATCAATCCATGCACCATGAATGATTCTGTGGAAGATCTTAGTTATATCAGAGGGATATCTATGGAACTGCTTTTCATTTGTAAAGACAGCAGCAAAAGTTGAAGCTGTGAATATATTTGGAAACACAGGTAGGTAGTTGTATCAAAAATACAATATATAAACTTTAGGCACCTGGATGGTAAAGGCTGTGGAAAAATAATGGTGCACATGACACATAACTGATAGCAATTTAAAGTCTCACACTTGTTTCTCACCTGTGAAACTTCGAGTTTTTTTAAATAAACAGGTAAAAATCCTCCTCAAATGAGCAATTTTATAAGTTGGACTGGTTGCAAAGTAATTCCTCCACAGTTCTTGCTCCCCAGTGGTTTCCATGCTTCTTTCTCTTGTTCTCTGCATGTTATCTCAGTGCTTACTCTCCAGGCCTGATTCTTCAAAAAATGTGTGGATTATCTGAGATGCAGACTGCAATCAGGAAAATATAGCAAATGGGAAATAGCAACATTGAATAATAAAGTTAATTTGGAAAACCTTTTTTTGTTAATTATTTGTGAGGGGCTAAGAAAATTGCTCCAAGTAGTTTAGCGAATCAAAAAACTACTTCACTCCCTACACCAAAAATTTAAATTGGCCTTTGCCACATTTTTTAATGCTCTACCTAGTTTTCTGCTTCTATTCAGTTTCTATCTTTATTTTTATTACTTACCATAGTGTGGCATTTGAGAAAGAGTGCATCTAGACAGATCCACGAAGACCAGAAAGAAATAATGTTCCAGAGTTTTGTTTCTGAAGTAAAGAATTTTTGGAACCACAGTCTTAGACATCAGGTTTCTAAATATAAAACAAACAGATTTAGCAAAGGAAAAAACAAACAAAAAAAAATGGAACGTGAACTGTAGAGCAAGTAGGTTAAAGAAATAGTAAAGCAACAGCATTTAAAAAAGTAGTTAGTATAGAAAGTTGTTAGTGTTGAGCACATAAGTGATTTTTACATCTTTTTATTATGCTTGTCACCTTCTGCCAAATTCATTTGTGCCAGGAATTAACTGACATTTGAAAATATATTTAGTGAAATGCAAGAAATCATACAGAGCATTCTGTGTATTTAGAGTTGGATCCATGAAGATAACATGTAATAGAAAAATTAAGAGGTGATCTAGAGTGGTCCAAGACATTTGTGAGAAATTATTTGACTTTAGAAAGCCAAGTTCATGCTTCTCTTTTATTATTATTTGTCCACTTGTCCATTATTTGTACTTATCCATGTGTCCACTATTTGCAGGTTTCAGTATCATTTTTACTGAAGTATCAATTTGTCTGCAGTGAACATCAGGCTTTCTAGGCTGTAGTTCCAGGTACTAGGAAAAATTTTATATTAGTAATTTTATTTCATGATAGTTTTGTTGTGATGCAAGAAGAATGGGAGTTTTACATGTGAGAAAAAGAAAAATTATTTAGAGTTTTATCTTGAAATAAGCAGGTAATATCAATTCAACTAAAGTGACAAAAGTAATGACTTTATGCAAAATTTATACAGAAATGCACTGAGGAGCAAAGGCATTCAAAGGCATTTAGAATCTAATTTACTTATCATAGTGATATGTAGAATTGTTATTATGTAGTTATAATAAATAGAAATACTGTCACTCAGGACTCAAATCTAATTTATGCTGTTCTGCAATATGACTTGAGTCCCCATCTGTAAGATGGACAGATGTTTATTGTACTTTTTAAATGTATTCTTACAAATTCCATAAATACAACAATGTATTAATTCTCTTAATGTAGTGAATATTCTGTTTTATGTCTAGATATTTGGACAAATTAATAAACCTCCCTATCATGTTTCCCTCCTAAGTAGACTCAGTACATGCAATTGCACACATAGTAATTTTCTTAATCAATTAAGAGAATCTGATAATCTGCTGATTATATTCTGTCTTCAGTGATAAACACACATATTATGTATTTCCATTTTGAAACCAAAGCAGTTTTTACTAATGCTTTTGGCTAGCCTTGACAGAGTAAATTTTTCCATTAAAAAAAAAAGAAATGGATTAGAATAAAAATAGAGCTGCCTGTAAAATCACTGTGTTTTAGTGTCACTGTGATATTGCTGAACTGGCCACTGAGAAAGGGAAATATCTTCTTTCAGACCCAGTCACTGTTACCTTTGAACAGTGTTGGTGCAAAACTTGGAATCTTTTCCTCAACAGTGTTTTGACTTGGCAATTTCAACTACCTATAAGCTATATAATGTGAAATTTCTAGTTAGAAACTTTCAGCTCTGTTGAATGAGAACTATATTAACATTAGAGTGGTTCACTCCTGTCTCATTTTTAACCCTTTCCAGTACTTTACCAGAAGCTTCCCTTCTGTCTCTTCAACACTTCTTGCTGGGGCTGGAACTGCCAAATTCTCTACTTTAACTCCAGGGATCTGTCTCATTCATTTATTTAATCTCAGCAAATTCCCAGTGTTCTACTCTGAGGTGTCTAAGCCTTACTCTTGATTGTTAAAAAAATCTGTTGTGCTTATATGAAAGAGAATATACATGTTGTTGTTTATAATAGTTGCTTGTTAGTACAGAATGCCAGCAATCTGTATGGACAATAAGTCAGAAAGCAACCCCCTCCCTCTAAATAGCTACAGTTTAAATAAACAGCTAAGGGAAGAAGGACTGAATGGGAAATAATGGAAGAGGAGAACAACTGAAGAGCTAAGCTTAATGCTTATCTTGTTATGCTGTTTTCTCCTTATTTTTTTACCGTACCTCTCCTTAAAAATGGAGAGTATTTTATTCTTTTGAACTGACAAGATCTGACTTCCATGGGCCTTTAAGGCCCACATACAGATATTAAAGAAAAAAGAATCAACAAGTAAATACATTTAACAAGTTATTATTTTGATTTTGGAGAACAAATCTGTACATGTTAGTAGACCAAAGTTATTTCTACAGATTGTTCTAGTGCACCAGCAGTTGCTTTATTGTTCACTATAAGATTTTTTCAAAAGTCTTCCAAATAAACTTTTTCAATATATAAATTTTTTCAAACTCTTCCAAATAAACTACTGCACTTCTAAATTTTGTCAGTTTCTACTATTACAATTTGTAACAGATTCATTGTGATGATAAGAAGTTTCACAGCAAAGGGTGAAAACAGTCTACAGCTTAAAGTCTTAAAGCATTATTTAGGGCCTGTGCCCTAAATGGATAAGACTGCAAATACAAGGTCCATGGCTAGGACATTCCCAGATGTATTTCTGTTTAGGGTGGTTCTCATATCTAGACTCTTCTGTAATTATATAAAAATGATGAGGAAAACTTCCCCCCAGCAAAGTCTCAGGGAAGGTTAATGGTGCAAATGCTGCTTTCTCTCTTGCAAAGATAAATCACTCAGTGGGCAAAGTACAGCCTCAGCTGGAGTAAAAAAGTTTAATTTGCATACTGTATGTCTGCAGTGGTGAACAGCCCACAGAATTTGGAAGAACCATGTGTTATGTCTTTTACTCAGGAAAAAGCTTATTTGAAAATTATACATCTTAGTAGCTGCTACAGACAGTGTGATTTTTCTCTATCTGATCAACAAAAAAGCCTAATAAATAATAACATACTGGTCCATTTTCTATTTCACTACTGAAGTGTATATCCTACTAGGGAATTTTGTGGCTTGAAATCTGGGTTTTCAGAGAAAATTCTTGCTCATAGTTCTGCAACCATTTAATTTTTCTAAGTTTCCCTATTCTGACTCTGAGTAGCTGTTTCATCAGACATAACAAGTATACTGTGCCATTACTGCCAAATCGTATTATTTGTCTCCTAGGGTGTTCACAAATGATTCATTGAACAAGACAAAAATAAATACAATAATTTATACAACACATTAGAGTAATATTCAAAAACAAGGTACACTTTCTAGAAAACACAAATTTTAAATTATATTAGTTAAATATCTTACTCAGACAGCAATTAAATGAATCATCAAAAAAGATCAATGGACTTAAAAGGTTTTCTTGTTCATCTGTAGATGATCTTAAGGAAATTTTAATGTATGTAAAATGTACGTAAACACTGTATAATTGTACCAGACAGTCCATTAATTTTTTTCTGGTATGATTTAGAAATACAGGTATAAAAACAAATTTAAAATATTTTTTCCTAAGGCAATAACAATATAATAATATAAATACACTTTGACACTGGGGTAAGTATTTGGTGATAGGGTAGAAATTATATTAGCTCAGCTGGACAACTTCTCAGCATTATTGAGCTGCTGAAAAATTTTGCTTCTAAAATTTGCATCAGATACTTCCTATTTTTAGAAAAGTTCTATTACCCTTAATATTATTACTTTTAACATTTTTTTTAGTGCTATGCATTCACTAGGTTTCAAAGCCATGCTGTCATACTGCCCTATTGGGAAACCCAGTTAGTAAAACATCCACTTGTGAAGTGAGAACAAAAACAAATTAAGCAGGTAAAAATCATCTGCTTGATGTAAGAGTAGTTAAGTCTCATGATTCAAATATGAATATAGAATATGAAACCTTACTAGGAATGACAATCAAAGAAGAGGAGTAAGATATTATTTCATATATTGAGACACACAAGCTTGCTCTGAGTTGCAGAATCTATGAAGTCCAGAGTGGTGATAAAAGAGAAAACACAGAAAGGTGCTTTCACAGTCAGGAAGAAACATCAGGCAAAGGTGATGAGGCAGATGAAATAATTTCAGACTAGGCTGAACTTTAGTAGAAGTCCAGCATATAGCAAGATGCAAAATATTAAAATATTAAGGTTTTGGAATGCGTTGACAATATTTGTTATTTCAACCTTAAGAAGAAAAACAAGGTGAAATGCATCTGACAGTGAATTATCAGTATAGAGTTCTGTGAGATTTTGAAGATGAAAAGCAGCATGGATGATTGTGGTAATGAAATTATAGAACTTATGATTTCTGGGATAAAAATAAAAATACTATTAGTAAAAAAATCCCATAGTAAAGGATCAACACAGAATAAAGATCTCAGGATGCCTTAGAAAAAATATTAACAATATTAAATACAGAAATATGTTAAAGTGAAGAAACTTGGAATAATAAAACAAAAAACATAGGATAGCAAATCACAAATTTGCAAAGCAGGATGAGAGAATATTACTAGCTATCCTGAATATCCATCAGAATTGTCATACTACAATCCAATAATCAAGCACAATATTTAGATATTTAAATAAAAGTATCTTCAGTAAGATATATGAAATAGTATGTCCACTGTGTTTGAAACAGACTAAAATGGAGAGGGGTTTTTTTTCAGTTTTGATGACTGTATTTCATTTTGGACAACTTCAGAATCAGCAGACAAAAATATGCTACAAAACATGATACAGTAATACAAGCTGCTGGAAACCATGCCTAACGTCTTGAACAAAATGAACTTTACAAAAATATGAATGAACAAAGTAACATAAAATTAATTCTGGCTGTACAATCAAAGGTGGGATGGCATATGTTCAAATATGTAAAGCATATCTGAAAATGGGAAGGCAAACACCAGTGTTTGTTTGAGACAAAATCAGCTCAGTTTGCAGGAAGAAAGATTTATGTTAATCATTATAGAGGAAAAAAAAAGAAAAACAAAGCCAGTATTTTCACAATTTGATAATTAAATACTGAAGTAGGTGGCCTGGACAGATTGTAGTATCTTTATCACTGAAGATTTAAAAGCAGGGGTCATGAACAATTTAGATCTTGTCTTTGGGCAAGAGAATGGACTAAAATCAGTTCCCTTTCAATACTTTCTGATTCTTATATTTTATATCTCCTTTACAGAATGAAGTCAGCTGTGAGAAAAAGGCACAGAGAGTAGCAGGGTAAATGGACATGGTTTTTGTCTGAATTATTGTTCTCTATTAATGAATTTAGAGATTTGCACCGTTATTTTAAAAATAGAAGACCTGCATTTGTAGTCTCCAGCTGGAATATAAGTTTGCAACAAAGAAAAACCAAATTTAATTTCTCTAATGAGACATTGGTGATAATAATTTTGTAATAAGTAATTGTATTCTGGAGCTGATGGGATTTGTATCTTTTGGAATGTATTTCATGTAGTTTCACAGTAACATAAGGGAGGATGGTAAAACCTGAACTCTTTTTGAGAAGGACAGATTTGATGCAGTCCTTTTATTTAAAACTCTTGTGATTGTACCCCTTGTAAAATGATTAATTTCTAATGAATCTGCGTCAGGCATCAGCTGCAGGATGAGATGAGCCCTTGTAGATGTGAGCCCTAGGCACTGCAATGACCTCAGGCTCAATGTCTTGGTCTTGTCTTTACTCTGGGACTACATTTAAAATACTGAACTATGTTAAATGAAATTTAAAGGATGGAGCTACAGTTAAGAAGCCTTTTTTTGCCAATTACACTGTATGCATTAGTCAATAATAAATTTTATTGCCTTTTAATGGTTGGTTGGTTGGTTGGTTGGTTGGTTGGTTGGTTTTTTTTTGTTTGGTTGATTTTGGTTTGGTTTGGTTTTTTGGTTGTTCATTTGGGTTTTTTTCCCTCCAGACTACAGCAACTCATAGGTTGTAGAAGTCTTTCTCAAGTTGAGAACTGTAATGGGTTTGTTATCAAAAGTTACTTCTGATTAATTTAGTTGCTTTTGGTACTTTCTGTAGCGGAAAGCTATGAGCTACATTTCAAACACTATAGGGTGGTGGGATAGCTGTAATGGTTTAGGGACATAAGCAAACATGAAATTTTTCATGAAAATCAGGGCCGTAGATTTTTAACTGCAATGGTGGTGCTGATGACTATATCATGCAGGTGGGAAATGTAAGCAGCTCCCAATTTTTCTGCTTTCCTTTCTTATGTGTTTTGGGTCTATTCAATTTCAAATAACTCATTTCAGTGACTTTTGTCTCTTAGTTAAGGTATGGTTATGATTATCATTTTGGTCTGTGCATTTAATGCATTTGCTTGATGAGTTGTTCAAAAATTATAAGGGGCCCAACCCAAAATCCAGTACTGTTAGTAAAAATTTCCTGTGCATTTAAAAGTAAATAGGGGTAGGCTCTAAAGAGGCTAGCATGGCTTTCATGAGCATCTTTTGTTCCAACAAGCTGTTGGAAAAAAGCTCTTACATTATATAACACAATCTCTGTATGTTTGTGGTACTAGCAGAGACAAAGAGCTTAGGGGTCACCTCCAGAAAAAAAAAAACTCACATTTTTCAAGTGCATGACTTTTATTTCTGCTACTTAACGTTTTCCAATAAAAGGAAATTGAGACTAATGGGATTTTATTTCTTTGTATATTTGGGCTTTTAGCTGTGGTGATCATTTGAAGCAGTCATCTAAGTAGCAATATTTAACTTATTTTGTATTTTACTTTTCGCAAATGAAGAGAATGTACCTTGAATATATTCAAGGATTTATTCCTTGTTCAGGAAAAACATTTTCTAGAGAAACGTAGCTACCAAGTGCTGTTATTTTATCCAAAGTGAAAAAGAAAAAGATAATAAGACAGAATTCTCATGTAATTTTAATTAAACTTTTAATTAATGCAGTAAACCCAACTGCTGCATATCTCTAGAAGCACCTGCCCTGCTTCACTGGATTACAGATGTATAGGAAAGGTGATTTCTGTCTTCACTTCATCAACATTCACAGTCTTTTTTGCCCAACAAGCATCTATGCCTTTCAGGTATTTGCTTTGTCTCCTTTTGTCCCTGAGAATGGAAAAAATCTTGTGACAAAGCAGTTAAATAGCTTTCTTTTACAATTCTTCTCCACATCATTTCCCATGACATTTACAATAACCATATTTTGCTCATTTTCATCAGCAGTTCTATAGATAATTTTTTGTATCTTAGTAAACTGTTACTTTGTGGTCCCTTTCTTTCCATTAACCTTGTATGTTTAATTTCCTTCTAGTAGAAGATGGCACTTCACTCTTTTTGAGACAGTTAATGAATTTTGGCTCATTATTTAGTGCAAAGGTGAAGATTTTGGGTGGTAGAAAACTCAGCTCATAATAGTAAACCGGAAAAGAGATACTTTGTAGGACTTCATACCTTACATAATTTGAGTATCTGACCTGAGAACTTGGATAATCCTGTTCCTTTGGGGGAAGATTCAGTGTTTTTTCCGGGGACAAAGTTAGCAAGTTTGGGTGCACTAATGCTTAGTTACATTTGGTTGTAATTAATATGTAAATCCTTAACTTGGGTATAAAAATAGTTAGTATCTCTAAAAAATGACATGTTTATAAGTAAGCTTTGGCAAACTTTATAAAATTTTAATTCCCCTCACCATCCCAATTTTCATATGTCCAAATGCTTTTCCTTTAAGTTTTTCTTTCTCTTTTCTTTTTGCATCACTATTCTACTATTAGGTCATTATACTGGTTCAATACACATTAGAAAATCAATTTTAAATGCATCTTCATTAGTTTTTTAGTTTTGAAGCAACCAGCTCACTTACTTTTGTTCAGCTTTGCACAATGGGCTCAGAGAAGGCTGAACCAGCTCCCTAAATGTGGCCAAAATGTGATGGTCACACAGAGTCAAGAAGAACACTTGTCCTCATTGCCACTGGTTTCACTGCTCTGCCCTGTGTCCCTTCTTAACACAGATAGCACCTGCTTTATTCTTTGATGCATTTGTTCTTGAAGGAATTATTACTGTTGGATGTAATGCAGTAGTTTATGAAAAAATGTGGTTTCTTGTAACAAGAGACGAAAGCAAAACCCCTACTTGGAAAATACCTGAATCAGAAGTTGTAGCAATTAATCTTTTTCTAAATAAATTTTTCTTCTTTAAATTAATTTAAAAAATAATTTATTGGTGTTTAACTAATGCTATAATTTGTTTGAGAGTATTATTCTAACATTTTCCCGTTCATCTTTGCAATAATACTACTTTGAAGAAAAAACAGTTACAGGCAGTGAATGGGGGAAAAGGAGACTGGAAGGCTATGAGCTGAGGGAAGGAAAATTTCAGCTCCTGAATTCTCATGTGTTCCATTGGTATATACTCACAATTCTTTTTTAATTGAAGCAAGATAATTAATTTTACCATAAAGTATCACCATTTTCATCACATCATCACATTTAAAATATTAATTATAACATCATATATAGCCAAAGAACAACCATTTGAAATATTGTATTTTACTGTAGGACATAAATTTCTGTTTTTCTTTACTGGATTATTTACATTGCTTTGAAGTCCTCTTGGCATGTGAGGTACTATGGAAATGAAGATATCAGTTTTTCCTTCTGCTACGTATTGGCATCACAGTACACCTACACAGATGTGATTGGGATTGTGGGATGGGAAACAACATGACTTGAAATTAAATTATGGAATCACTGTCATGACAAATGAGGTTATGAAATTAATTACTCTGCATGCTCAACGAAGATTTTCTAAATGTACACACAGTATTATTTTTTCAACATAGTGAAATTGTTCCATTTATTAGCAGCTTGAAAATGTTACCTCCTAGATGTAAGTTCTAAACAAGAAAATATTATTTTCAACTCAGTAGGTAGAGGCAGAAATCAGTTCCTTTGGTTTAGAAAAGAAAAGAGAAGAGTCAGGAAAAAGAAAAACTAAATAAATTAAATTAAAAAAAAAGATAATATGCTGTATTATTCACAAAACCCCAGGCTATTTTAAAGTGTTGATATATTACAGACTTCATAGTGGATTTTAAAACAGAAGGTCAACCCAGCCTTAATTGCTGGAGTTTTTATCAGTCATTTAACCTCTATTTGTGGCAGTTGAGAGGTGCATTTATAACTTTTCTCAAACACGTCTAAACCAGAAGGTACTTTCTCCTGATCCAGCTAGGTAAGAATAAGTTCACTGGCCATGAATGGTATCACCTTTGGGGTGAGACATGATAATGTAAGCAAATGAAGTAATGCTCCTTAGATTTCTTTAAAATGAGAATAGAGATGATTGCATCACAGGCTGCAGGGAGAATTTTGCTAGAAGTGATTTTAGTATTCAGGATACAATCTGGTGAAATCACGGAGAAAAGGTGTCACTCTCCTCTTAATGAGATGTTTTGCTTCATGTGCAAATAAAGGTAGGATGTCAAAGAAAGTATAAACCTCTGGAGCAGATATTTTAATGAAAATCCTCAATTCAAAGGCCAGCTGTGGGATCTCAGCACATCGTTCCCGATGTCCAGAGATGCCAGGAGAACCCTTGGGGGTCTCGAAAACCCTGGAATGTTGCCAAGAGTGCTTGGTGGCTTGATTTTGATCCATCCACAGAAGTAACAAGAGTCTGAGGACAAGAGAATCACTTTAGAGTAAAAGGTGTAAAAGAGACACATTTAGAGGGTGAGATATAGATTTTAAGGTTTTTGGTACAGGGGGGTTATGGAGACAAGATGGAGGGATCAGGGCGTGTCTTGTCCTTCTTCTTTCTTCTTCTTGTCCTCCATCTCCTGTGATGATGTTGGCACTTAGAGATTGGTTTCTAGTGAAGGTGCACTTGCCAACATAGGCGAAAAGCATTGGGAAATAAAGGTAAATATTGTATACGTAGGTTTTAGTATAAAAAGACATGACCGCCCCGTGGGTGGTCAGAGAGTGCCTGTGACTGCCTGCAGATCAGACCTCTGTTGGGCAGACAGAAAAATTTTTGTAGATAAGAAATAATAAACAACCTGAAGACCGAAAGCTGAAGAGTCCAGACTCGTCCTTTGCATCGCGCCCACCAAAGAACCACTCTACCCGTGTCGGGGCAGAGACAGACAGCCGGACCCGACATTTGGCGTCCCTGGGTGGGCACCCCGTGGGCACCGGCACCGGTGGGCACCCGGCGGCGACCCGGGGAGCAGCTCGGCAGCGACCGGCGATCCAGCAGCATCCAGCAGCCTTCGCTGAGCCACGGTGAGCTCTGCTGTGCACCTCTTGCACAGGGGCAGCCTTGAAGCACCGAGTGGGCAGCTCCCGAGTTGGACTCATTCCCAGGAGAGCCTGATAACTCCTTGGGAAAACA